GGTTGCCACATTGGGCAATCTGTGCTGTGTCCACTGCAGGATTGAACACCAAATTTTAGAATTCTGTTTATTGGAATGTCACTATTTCAATTGTTAAATTGGTCATAGTGTTTTTTTTTTTTAAGACTCTTAATTAGGATACACAAAATATTGAAGAGCATTTCAACCAATAGATTTTCTACACAAGAATAATTTACATAAAATATAGTAGTAATTTAAAATAGTACGGTTTTATATCCCATAAAAAAGCTAATAAAGAAAGGCTTAAACAGTGATAAAGTAAATCTACACCACTAATAATAAGTCCTGAAAATTGAACATCTTAAAAGTTGAGTTTTGTGTTGATAATAATTGAATTCAGTTTGTAGTTTATCATAGAAAAAATTTGATATTTCCTCTTTCTAAAAAAACATTAAACATTAAAATGTTCTATATTTTTAATGTCTGTATTGAATACAAAGGAAACTTAGTAAACTGATTAAAGGAGAAATTAATATTTCATAATTAATGAAAATGTTTATTGAGAAGGTCAAATTAAAGTTAAGAATACTGTTAACATTTACTCCTTTGGTAGAAAATGTTTTGTTCTCCCATAAGTCATCATTATAAGTTAATGAACATTTCAAAATTTAATGTTGATCTTCAGTTTTCCATGTACTTGTAAACTTAAAGGAAAAAAAAATTAAATCTTTCTTAAACCATTTGTAAGGTTTTATAGGGCTGCAATTCTTTACAGTATGTGTCTGTGACTTGATGGCGATACATTTGAACAATAAACTGACAGTACACAATCCCTTTGTATAAAATAATATATTCAAAACAAGTCAAACGTATATACAAAAATTCATAATCACAGTTGTATCCAGAGCTTTAAATAATTGTTTAATTTTTATCAAAGTCCACACATTCAGGTTCAATTACTTTATAACACAAGACAAATTATTCTCCTCTACCTCTGTTATTACAATACAAGCTGTGAAACTCGCTTTAGAAATTGGCCATTATGGCTAAACTTGCATCTAATCTAACTTCACTTTTTCCACTTCTACATTCACTGACTTACATACATACATACATACATACATACATACATACATACATACATACATACATTGTCCAACTGAGGCCTAGAACTTTCTGCAAACCATGAGATGCTGTGATGTAACACTACTCACTTAAAGCAACAAGAAAATATAAGAAGGTTAGAGTAACATGAAGTCAGTTCACAACAACTGAACTACACAACAAACAGTTACATAAGCAAACTTGCCATAACTATCACTTCTAAAAATAACTTACTTTAATTCTTTCACAGTGTGAAGTAAATAATACTCTCATATTAAACTTAAAACTAACTGTCATGTACATTTAACACCATCCAACGTTTCTGACTTCTTACCAACGTTTTGGAAGTTGTTTTCAGCATTTTTTTTGAAGATATGTGTTACTAAGTACATTTTAGCATATAAAAAACTAACAAACCTCTTTTTAAACAAAATTATCTCTAAGTAAATTCAGATACATATACGATCAGAATCTTTTCACTTAGAATTAATACCAAAGAAAATGTACAATTTAATATAGATTATACTGAGAACTGTATGAAAAAATTTTCATTAATCAAATGTTAATTTCCACTAGATATTTTGGTGCTTTCACTATGGACACAATTGTCACCTGTGCCTTTGGGACACGTGTAGATTCACACAAACATCCTGACAACCCCTTTGTGAAGTATGCACGGCAACTTTTCAATGCAAATATGAAACCTTGGCAGTTACTAGTTCGTAAGTAAACTTTGAATTTGCAATAGCAAATTGAAAACTTTGTGTATGAGGGATTGAAAGCATGATCAATAATGTTCAGACCTCTAGATCTAAAGAACTGTACTGATGTAAGAGATTTTAATCATCCATTTGTAAATTATATATTTTGAAATTATTAAATGTACTGCTAAAATTTATTAAGCCAACTAATCAATAAGGGTTTTTTTGATAATGGTGTTAGCTTTACTCTACAAACTGAAAATAAAGGAAATTTCAAGAGTATACAAAACAAATGCTATTTTTTTGGTTACAATTATCTTCCTCAAGCTAGTCAATGTCCTTAGCTTGTCTACAATCAAATTATTTTTTTGGTTACAGTTATATTCCCCAAGTTAGCCAGTGTCATTGGACTAAATTTTATTTCACGAGAGATTACTGATTTCTTTCGCAATACCACCAATCAGATCATTGAATTCAGGAGGAAAAATAATGAGGTAAATTGTTGCATTACATATATCTTTCCAGAAAACTGTTTAAGACCCACTAATATAGGGTCTCAAACAGTTATCAAGATAAAACAAAATATTTACACTTGTGCATGAAGCCTAGTTTTTCTGAAAATATAAACAATTCTTTTTCACTTTCTTAAAGACATCACATGTTAATGACTATTGTAACAGTTCCTATATAATACCAAATAACTTTAAAAAAAAAGGTTTGAATAGATTTTATTTTATAAAATACTTAAAATCTAGAAGTCTGTTTGAACTACTACTGTTATAAACAATTCATAAAATATGACTACTAAGCATGTTTCTCTATATTTCTTTTTTTTTTATGTAGAAATGTTTTCTCTCTTAAAATTAATGATGTAAAATTATTAAGGTAAGGTTTCTACAAACTTATTATTGTCTAAAATGGGTTAAATAAAAATGTAGCTAGCATTAAAAATTGAATTTGTTTTCATTTGCCATATCTGAAGCTGTTTTTCTCACTCAGAAAAGAAACGATTTTCTCCAAATTATGTTGGATGCAAAAGAGTCCCCCCAAGATGCTGATGAACAAAATGATGAAATTAACTCCATAGGCAGTGCTCATGGCCACGAAGATGAAGTTGGATTACATGAATGGAAACCAATCAAACAAAAAAGTAATAATTCTTTTTCACTTAAACTCTTATTTCTTTTTATATTTGACACAAATGCTGTTTTAATTGGACAAAAGCAAAGCATTAAAGACAATAAGTCACACCACCAAATTATATTTGTAAATCTAATAGGGCCGAATGTCTTGTATCATCACAAACCTTGATAGCAGGGATGTAAGTTATTTATTCAACAATACAAAGTACAAAAAATGTTCATATAACTTAGTAGACGTAGACTGAACAATATTGTAGTACTGCTTAATGCATGTAATAAACTTTTACTAGCTGATAATATACTAGTGCAGGATTTTCTCTTATTCTTTCAAATCTATAATATCATAATAAAAAACAGATTAAACAGCAGTTATTGAGTTATGTTAGTAGCATGCCTATATACTGTATGTATGTGCATGTGTTTCT